CCACCATGTGTTGATTAAAGGCAAATCCAATGACTGCAGAGACAGAGGTGAAAGCGTCTGTGAAGCCCCTGCGCTGATATTGGCACTGCAAGTTTCCCCACTTAGAAGAAAACGGCATCAGGGCTGCTCTCTGGTGATTGTGAAGTAGACAATGCTCTCGGTAACACAAGATAACACATCATTTTCTCATATTGAGGAGCTGTAGGATAGACTGTATTAAAGTGTTAAGTATTTAGTATTAAGGTAGCAAATTAAATGGAGAAAATGGACCGTTAATGTTTTTGTGAAGGTGATTTAATATGTTTGCAACTATACCCATTTTATTTTTTAGAATAATCCTTAAAGACCAGTTTATTATTTTGACATGAGTTTCATTAGAAGGTTTTTTAGGTACTACCTACTGCATTGATGCAGTGTAGGAAATGTGTTAAATCCACAATAGCCAATGCTTGACTGCTATTTTAATGAATTTATTTTTAAGACCCATCAATGTGTTAGCAGAACATTTTCCTTTTTTTTAACAAATTCAATGACTTTTTCATGGAATAGGAGTACAGACTCACCATGTCCTGAGTGAACTTCAGACAGAGGAAGAACCTTCATCCCTACAGACCATCCATCCGTTTCTAACCACTTCTTCCAGGCCAGGGTCACTGGATTCCCAGCAAGCAAACGGCCGCAGGACAGGATACACCCTGGACGCGATGCCAGTCCATCACAGCCCAGACACAGGCACACACAGTCACACCAGGGCCAGCTTTCCCATCACGTGCCAGAGACCTCGAAATTCAAATGCACAAAACAGATGAAAGCCGTATGACAAGCATGTTAAGATAAGAAAAACACAGACTCATAATTGTTGGTTTTCAGTTGAAATAAAAAACAAAATTATATTGTAAACAGGCAAAAAGCTACATTCTAAGCTTTTGAAACCATGACAAGGGAATCTTGTGGAGTCCATTAATCGCCTTATACTGTAAAAAAAACACTGCTGCCTTAATTCTCTTTTTAAGTCAATCAGTTCAACATTACATAAGAATGTCAGTTTGCTTTCTCTGAAAACCACAGACTTTATTCTTTACCTTTTAGAATGACAAAGCCTAAATTACTGGGGACAGTACCCATCAGCAGCCTACACAAGGGAAAGGAAACGGGCTGACCTGACAGCAGACAGTGTGTGTTCCCATGGAAAGTGGGAGGACATGAAAAGTCAGGACATGTTTATCTTGAGCAAACTGAACTCCAGTGGAAAGAGGAAGCGAGGACATGTCTGGGTGAACCGAACAGCGGGGGGCGCTAGTAACAGTCTGAGAGAAATACTTGTGCAGCTTACACAGCAGGCAGCAGAGAGCACCAGTCGAAATGAGGACAACCTTCTCAAAAACACAGAGCAACCAAGGGCCTCACAACTCTTTCAACTTATA